GCAAAAAAAGGTTAGTTCATCTATATATATGGATTATATATAGATTTGAGTTATAATTTATTGTAGTTATAATAAAATCTGATATTTTATAATATTTTATAGTTATCACATAAAGTATAGTTGTAGTAATTACATAATTTAATATATAGTTATAATGACGAAATATTTTTCAAATATTAAATTATTACAAAAGGATATTCTTAGCATATTCAAATATTGGTAATATTCAAAGTGTTCTTTAAACGGTAATGCATATTGTTCTTCAGTCAACTGTCTTGGCTCTTGGCTCCGTTTTTGCCAAGCCTCGATAATTGAGGAGGTAAATATTATTTCTTTTGTAGAACAAGAGATGTGGTAGCTTCCAGGTTGATCTTCCAGAAGCAAAGAAACATTCTAGTCCAGAAAAAAAAGTATATCATGACTTTGCCTTCAGCTTTATTTGGCTTGTTTTACCAAAATGGAGCACATAACGCTCCCTCTTGATCTTACAAGTCCTTGCGGCAACGTTTCTGAAACAAAACAAGTGTTTCATCAACCATGCTCTCAACTGTGAGACAGACGCCGACACGGCTTTGCAATGTACTCTGCAAAAGACTCAGAGGACACCATAGAAATAGACAAACAAAGTCTTCCACATGGCAACCATAGCACCGGCCTTTCGGTATTGTGTTACAGATCAGGCTGTGCCTATCTACATTGAAAAGGAAATGTAAGATGGTCTCGGTTGGGGTGGGCTCGCAAAAGCTCATGAACCACATGGAAATCTTGGAAAGACTCTGCATGGTAGAAATGGCTGACAGAAATCTGGTCTGGGATGGCGTCTGGCATCCACCAAGTCACTCCATTTGTGCCAGCTCGAGTCGGGATGCATTTGCCACCGTCCTTTCATATGGCTTGGTTAATGCAAGCAGCAAGACTTTACCGTTAGGTTTGGTTAGATGCTTCTGGGCGAATTTCACACTTTGGAATTTTTCGAAACAAGAGCCTTGCCTGATGTCAGATGAAGTTCTCCTATAAGAGCAGTCGTCTTAATCGGGCAAACACCACACGAATGGATCTAGCACTTGCTGTCAGTTTTGGAATTTTCATCGCTCTCTGGGGCTTGTGGCTCTTGAAAGCTCATTCAAATCTTCCACCAAGTCCATGGGGATTGCCCCTGATTGGCCACTTACACTTGCAGGAATGCCCCCGCACAAAGCATTGCAACGCATGGCCAACAAGTATGGTCCTATTATTTCCTTGAGGTTGGGAATGATCCCAACTGTGGTGATCTCCAGCCCGGAGCTTGCCAAGGAGGTGGTCACCACACATGATCTAAATTTTGCTTACAGGCCGTACATGGTTTTCCGCGAGTATTTCAGTTATAGCTCTGTCGGACTTGTAAGTAGTCCCCATGGAAAGCTATGGCGAAACACCCGCAAGCTGTGTACAACGGAGCTCTTCACGGCCCACGTATCGACTCTTTCTCTTGGGTCAGAAGGGAGGAGCTCTCGCGTGCCTTGGAGGGGATTTTGAAGGCTCATGGCAATGACAAGCCTGTGGAGGTGAGAAAAGTGGCCAGTGTTTTCACCTTCAACATCACATCACGAATTGTGATGAGCAAGAGGTACTTTGGTGACGAAAACGTGGATGCTGATGCCATGGAATTCAAGGAGCTCAATGACAATGTTCTTGAGCCATCAATCCCTGTCTTAGCAACTTGGTGCCTTGGTACCTGAGATGGCTGGACTGGCAGATCCCTCGGTACAAGCGAATCCATGCCAAGCAAGACAAGTTCTTGCAAAAGATCGTTGACGAGCACAAGGAGACAACACGAAAATGCAAGGACTTCCTTGATATCATGCTTGACTTCTTTGGAGCAGGGACACAAGGGGAGACTTATGTGAAGGCAAACCTCATGGTAACCCGTGCAAAACTTTTCCATATTGCTGCTAACAGGTATTTCTATGACAAATGCAGGAGATGTTAATTGGTGGAACTTATACCACCAGCACTGCAAGTGAGTGGCTCATAGCTGTATTGATGCACGATCCTCGAGTCATGGCCAAGCTCCGCGAGGGGCTCGACAGGGTTGTGGGCAACACTCGGATGGTGCAAGAGTCGGACCTCCCAAAGCTCGAATATCTCCAGCTCGTGCTCAAGGAGACATTGAGACGCTATCCTCCGGGTGCCATAATTATGCCGCACATCTCAAGCCAAGCATCCAACGTTGGCGGCTTTCACGTTCCAAAAGGGACCACTCTCCTGGTGAATTCATGGGCGATTGGAATGGATCCGGCAGTATGGGAGAATCCCACACAATTCCACCCGGAGCGCTTCTTGGGGAGCTCCATCGACGTCAAAGGCCAAAACTTTGAGCTCCTCCCGTTTGGATCCGGCCGTAGAAAGTGTCCAGGAATGGCCATGGGATTGCGAGCAGTGGAGCTTTTCGTGGCGAATCTTATCCATGGATTCGACTGGAGCTTTGTGCCCGGGACAATGCCGTCCATGGAAGATGTTTTTCGCAGTGCTATTCAGCTCAAGACCCCATTGCAAGCCATGGCAAGTCCAAGGTTCCCAAAGGATGTCTACATCAATCAGACATCACATCTTTAGTCACCATGGACTTCACTACAAATAAATTCTACTCAATGCTGGCTAGACTTGCGTCTCTCCCACTCCACAATGTGATATATAGATCGGAGAAATCTTGGTTGTCCCAGCAATATATACATTGTCAGATCCAAATTCCAAGGAGAGTGGAGAACCGCCATTTGAAGGTCTAGTGTAGCCTCGGTCCTGACAAGACGATCTTTCCAACCACGCAAAAGTTTTGATCGTGCATTTCTAGTCACGTTGTATCCCCTTTGCCCAGCCGAGCTTGATCACGTGTTGAAGACCAGGCCACTGGTCAAACATAATCACAATTTACGGTCAAGGATGGTCAAAATTTGGTCGTCCTTGAAAAAAAGCAAATATTGGAAAGTCTACCTCCGACTGAGAACATTCTAGGACTTGAGAGACGTTCTCAGGTGTCCAGTTTGCCTTGAGTTCGTCCCAGGCACGTCTTGCAGTGGCTCCAGGGCTGCTGATTGTCTCCAGGTCCCTGCTCTCTGCCACAGCCTTGTGGAGCAGCATCCAGCTTCCATTTTGGAGCTTCCAGCAGAGTAAGATGGTGTGGCGTGCTTGAGATGAAAAAATATCAATGCTAATATTTGCTCACTTAAGAAATAATTAGAGTCCCCTAATGTGTTTTCTTATTTCATTTGTTAGCTCTTAAAAACGTATTAAGCACTGATACAAATTAACCTTTTTAAAAATTATAATATTTTAAAATTTTATCAACTATAAAATCCCAAAGAAAACCAATTGTTTGCTAAGTGTAGCAATTTTTTTTCATTTGAGAAAAGAATTAGATTAATCTTGGAATGAGTTTAGTAGAATTGTTAAATGAAATAATTGTTAGTATGAGCATCAATTTCTTCTCTTTCTATTGTAAATAAGTTCTTAAACAGTTGCTGCCCAAATTCCAACAATAAATCTTACCAAGAGTTATTATGTGATATGGCTAGCAAAAACAAATGGTTCTAAATATGTATATTTATCTAAAGTTTATTGGAATGACTTGGTCATTTCTATCCTACAAAAATCCTTTATGCATGCTTATATAAAAGGCTAGGTTATAGAAAATGGACTAAATCTTGATAATTTGTTGGCATATTTATCTACTACAAAATTGATACAACTTCCTAGTCACAAGCTCACCAGTTTTAAGATTCTTAGTTAGTTTTGTTGTAGATCAAATTTCAACATCATTTAAAGTTAAATCTACGGTCAAGTGTTTTGTTTAGATTGGTAGAAAATTATATGGTAAAAAGATTACTATAGGAACTCTATGCACTCTAGCATTTTGTTTTTGGGGATGATAGCAATATAGTGATCTTTCATAACACTGTGATCAATTCATATGGTTTTGTCCAATAGAAATTTTACACATAGTCTATTGTAGTATAGATTATCCAAAAATCAAAATATATACCACATACTTGACTAGTTGAAGAAGAGATGAATTTGACGAATTTAGAGTTTTAAAATTTGGTTAAAATAGGTTTTAGATTTGAAGAGAACACTTTACAACCACAACCATAGGCTCAATCTCAACATTATTCTCAAGAAGTTTTAAAAACAAGAAATAACAAATGTCTAAAGATTACAAATACTTTATCAAAGGAAGCAAAAATAGCGTACTCAAAAGTATTATAGTTGAAGGTAGAAATTAAGAGTGTTAACATCAAGTAGCAATATTATCATCACGAATATACAATTCTTAGTTATGAAATTGATATTATAAATAGGAAGGTTTATAACATTACAATCAACTAATTCTCAAGTTGTATTTGCCTATACTTCTTTTAATATCAAATTTATGATAAGTCTTTTATCCCTTGCAAGCATATGTATTTTGTATATTAAATGCTTCTTGGGATTGATCCAAATATTAACTTTGGATTCATCACTTTGTAATATCTGAATATGAGATGTTCATGACATTGAAAAAGAATTAGATATTGGTATTATATTTGAATATAATATAAGATAAATATCTTTTTATTTAAAAGTTACATCTAAAATAACATATGGCATTTCTTATAATAGAGATTTTATGTAATAATAATAAATTTATTATAAATATACATTATATATTAGTGGATGCTTACTTAAAATAATTATTATAAATAATAAATATTAAACATTAAAATAATAATTTTTTCTGTAAATAAGTTGATAATGCAAAGCCTCTATTAAATAGCAACTACTGCTACTAAGTTTAGCTGCTGGTAGTTTACACAAATCTAAATATTATTAAAATTACTACCTATTTAATAAAAATATTGCCACAAAATCTTAACAAAATACTTTGATGTGCCAAAATATTCTTAAAATATTCTTGTCAACGGCAATAGCTCCCTTGACTCGCTCCCTAGATCCTCATTTATCTGGGAAGACCTGCAAGCACGAGTATGGCTAAACTCATCCAGATCCTTGTAGTGGTAGTTTTCTTTGCAGCAAGTTCTTGCGCGGCAACGGATTCTAGCAGTCACTTTGCAAAGTGCACTGAAGTTATTAGCTTCTACCTCCATGATCTCTTCTTCCCAACGCCTGGGGTGAATGTCACCACGGCAATTGTTCTTCCAGGCACGAACAACGCCACCATGTTTGGAATGGTGGCCATCATCGATGACAAGCTGACAGAAGGCCCCTCGATCGACTCCAAGCTCGTGGGAAGAGCCAAAGGAATATTAGCATTCGATTCTATCAGCAACATCAGCCTCCTGGCAAGCATCACCCTGGAGCTCGAGGGGCGAGATGGAAACATCAATCTACTGGGCCAGAACCGCGCTCTGGATCCGCAGAGGGAGATTTCAATCGTGGGAGGAAGTGGAGAATTTAGATTTGTTCAAGGATTTGCAACACTGAGAACGCATTCTCGCGAGCCTTACGGCACCAAGGTCTTTTGGCAGGTGTATGTGATCAAACTGTGGGACTGCGTGTTCAACTCCTAGGTGTAGAACCGAGATTTCCTGTCCTAAGAAGAATAAGTGAGCATAAATTTTTTCATGTTTTCGCTGGTGAACCATATTTGTTTATCTCCTGTTTATCTTGCACTTTGTGCCTTGATATGGAATTTGGCAAGCCGGTCTTTTTGCCTAAAGTTGGACAAGGAGCTTGCATGAAAGCAAAACTCAAAATAAAGAATTGCATTGATCTTCCATAGCAATGTCCCTTTGGCCAAGGCGTGTGCCTTCTAGGTACATGAGGTCTCTCAGGCGAAAACTTTTAATCTTCTATTCCTGTGAATCTCTAGGACCAAGAGCGCCTTCTTGCCTTTGGATCCCGGGGATTGCAAACTCCGCGTAGAGATTGTTGGCGCCCTAGGGAATGAGAGCGTCCCCTTTCGGGGACTGGGCGCCTTCCCTGGTTTTGAACAAAATCTAAAAGAATAACATCCATCTTGCTTTGTTGGCTTATGTGCTAGATGTCATGTAGTCTTTCTTGCGTTTCGCCCCTCTCAGACGTGAATGTAGGGCGTTGACCTAGCCCGCACGACTTGACCATGTGACTTTTCCATTGGTTGCTTGTTCTTCGTCAAGGGGTGCTGCCCGCGCTGCAAACAATACCCGGAAGGCCGGTTGCTTGCGACTGGCACAACACTTGTTTTGTCTAGTTCTCACTGTCTTTTTCTTCCTCTGAATCTTTCTCCTGCTTTGCCTCCAAATGCCATTTCCTGCAGCGGTGGCGTACTAAACACTCGTTTTGTTGACCAAACACTAGTGATGGGCCTTAAGGTTCCACGGCAGAGTTCATTGGTACTAATCTGTTTTAATTACTGGGAATGACTACTGTTTGACAAGGAAAAGGAGGCTTGCGATTATACTAACGGCCACATGAAAGCTTGTTCAAATTCAAAGTGTCATAAAAACAAGTAATATTTATTCTTCTACAAAAGGAATTCTCCAGGGAAGAAAGTATGTGGGAAGAGCCAAGGGAATGCTAGTGTTTGATTCTATCAGCAACATTAGCCTCCTGGTGAGCATGACCCTGGAGTTCGAGGGCAAGATGAAAACATCAATCTGCTAGGCCAGAACCACGCTCTCGATCCGGATTTCAATCGTGGGAGGAAGTGGAGAGTTTAGATTTTCTGGAGGGTTTGCAACGCTGAGACTGCATTCTCTCGAGCCTTACGGCACGAAGGTCTTCTACCAGTTGTATGTGACCGGAGTGCTTGTACAAATCCTAGGTGTAGAATCGAGATCTCCTCTCATGAGACAAATTAAAAAAGCACCACATAATACCATAACAGTTTCAAGATTGCCACAAGTTACTCCTTGATGTGGAGCAAGTATTGTTGCAGCTCCACGTTGATGATCAATCAGCAGTAACTTGCTCCACGATTGATCAAGGAACCACTAGATGTTGCGCAAAACATACAACAATAAATTATGCTCAACTCTCCATGTCCCTAGTCCCCTATAAAGAGGAGATAAATGCTCACATGAATCTAATTGGGCACAACGGTACTAATAGTCTTCATGTAGGTTCCCTCTTGCCTATAGTATATGTTATATCATTGTATAGTCGGTTTCATGCATTTATTCTCCCAGCTAAGCATGAGGCTAGAGGGTTGACAAGTAAGTTGTCTGGATGAGCAAAGTTGTAATGAATTTTGCTGTTTCAATGACTTAGAATGAGTCGATATACACACAAAGTCTTACCTCAGATGGTTTGTCTTCATCATCATTGCTTTAAGAATTGTCCCAGGAGACATAAGCTTTTATAATTGCATACACACTTACTCTTCCTCCCAACGCCCGAGTGAATGTCGCCACTTCCAGGCACGATCAACGCCACCATGTTTGGAATGGTGTCCAGACAAGCTGACACAAACCCCCTCGATCGGCTCCAAGCTCGTGGGAAGAGTAGTGTTTGCTTCTATCAGCAACATCAGCCTCCTGGTGTCGGGCTAGATGAACGCATCATGGACCAGAACCACGCTCTGGGATGGGAGGCTGAGAACGCATTCTCTCGAGCCTTACAGCTCCAAGATCTTCTTCCAGTTTATGTGACCATACTGTGGGAGTGCTTGTTCAAATCTCCACTTCTAGAGGAATAAAGGCGTATGATCCACAGAAGTTTGTTTCCATAACATGTCCAAGATTGCTACTAACGTTAGATCAAGGAAGTTTTAGATTTAATGCTTATTTACTCATGAGAGTCAGAGATGTGCATTGTAACTTTTATTCACGAACAAAACAGTACTACGTACATATTTTTCCCCATTAATGTCGCTTGGCAATGTATTTGATACATTAAGAATGCATCACAAGTTTATAAACACTTGAGGAACTTTGTCCAGCCAATGTGAATCCCTTGGACCAAGAGCGCCTCCAGTTCCACCGGATGCTCGCCACTCTTGTTCTTCCCTTGTTGCATCACTTGGAAGCACTTAAGGTACACACTCTTGTCCACAAACCTTGGAGGATCCCAGGGATTGAAAACGTCATCGCCGCCAAGGGGCGCATAGAGATTGTTGGCGGCCCAGGGAACGATGGAGGCAAGCAAGTAGGCCACCAAAAGCCTACCCACGCGTCCATTCCCATCCCTGAACGGGTGGACACTCTCAAACCTGTAAAAAAAGGCGGCGCTGATGCTCACCACCTTTGCAACCCTGAGCTTGGGATCTGCTGCAAATGCCTCCTTGAGGGATTTGTTGGTAGATGACACTAGCTGCTCGAGAGCCGCCGGGATCTTCTTAGGATCCATGTAGACATGCTTGCGTTTCTCTGTGGTCAATGTCCAGGCCTCGCCCCTCCGGAACTCCCCCGCGTCGACCTCGTCCTTGGTATTCTCCCCAAGCATCTTATGGATCTGGAGAATCTTTTCGAAATCTAGGCGTGGAACTTTCTCGGCCTTAGCCAGAGCGTTGACCCAGCACAGGCATTTGTAAAGGTTGAGCGTTGACGTGAGCTTTGGTTTTTTGTCACCGCCAAAGCCGTCAAGCGCAAAGGACTTTGTCTGGTCGTACTGGTTAATGGCATCACTGACCTCTTGCAGTGTATCGAGCCCTTCGCCCTCGATGTGTGCCACTTGGAACACAAACTCTTTCACCATTGCTCTGCCTTGCTTGAGTGCGCCACTCTTCTTCTTCTCAGGCAGTGATTCATACCTTGACACGCACTTCTCAATGCTCTTGATCATCGCCATTGTAAAAAAGGATGTCCTAGAGCCCTAGTTTCGAACCCGCGATTTACTGACCAACCAACGGTAGCGGTTGGACGGTAGTGACTGGACGGCGGCGATCAAAGCACATTAAGGAGTTTATATACCTTTTTGGATTGCAATGCTTTCTATACCAAAAAAGAACTTACAGATTAAAAAAACCTTTTGATCGCATAAAAACTTTAAGCAGTGAAAGAATCTGTTTGGAAAGATCGTTCTTCCTCTAGAGTCCTGTGGACTCACTTTTCTTACCGTGTGTTCTTCGTGCCAAGGAACATCCACTTACGCCTTGGAAGATCGAGCCAAAATAACTTCGCCGCGTGATCTTTGTCTCTCGACTGTCACGAAGTTCCCGACGTCCCGGACGATTCACCAGTGTTGTAATCCACCGGCTTGATCACACCCCCGGAGCCTTCAATGTATTGAATCCTCTTGCCATGGTTGACCTGATCGGAGGACGATTGAAACGCCCTGCTTATTCTCCTCAACCAGATATCATAGTCCGCCGGGTATGGAGTCCCGATCAAGCTATCGATGTAGTCCGCATAGGCCTTGAGCACCGTCGAGATCTCCCCGAGCAAGAGCTGGAAAGTTCTCAAAGCCCAAGCCCGCTCTCTCCACTGGAGCGCGGCCTCCAAGCTCTCAAACTCCGGCATACTCCCACCGACGAGGAAGTAGAGCAGATAGACGAGGCTCTCGGCGTCGGCGGCCGGGCACAGCTTCCCCTCCTGCAGCGCGTAAGTCGACGAGTAGCGAGGAGATATCGCGGGACTGTCCCGGTCTTCCAGCACTGCCCGGCCCCAGTCGATGAGAACGTAGAAGTAGTCTCCATCACCTTTCACCCGGATCACTCGCTGAGGGCTGATATCCCCGTGCTGGATCCCCGCGGACCCAGCGCTGCGCAGCGCCGAGAGCAAATCGTGGCAGCACCTGAGAGTTTCCACCGCCGAGAGCCAGCCGTGCTTGGCCACCACTATGTCCAGCGGCTCCCCAACTGGAGACGTGACCAGCACCGAGATCCCACACCACGGATGATCGCAACGGCCGCCAGGACTCTGTTTGGAGCAGGAGCCCGAGTGGAGGATTCGGCCGGACGATACGAGCTGCGGCAAGTACCTGCTGGAGACTCCCCTCTGGCTCATGGTGTTGAGAATTCTGGTCTGCCGCTGGACTTGATACCACGTCGTCATGTCCTCCCACGACGGCTCCAGCTGAGAGGGATGCGCTCCAACGTACACGGACAGTAGCTTGTCACCTTCGTCCAGGGAGGTTGCGCTGTACATCGAGTACTTCTCGTCTCCTAGGCTGCTTACTATCCGAAAGCCACAGCCGCGTTGCCATTGAGCATCCTCCAGCCACAGCGTCGACCCCGGCTCCAGCTTCAGTGCTTCAAACTCGCGTATAATCTCCTGTGCTTCGATCTCCTCGATCTCCTGTATCTCATGGCTCGTAACTTCTTGCCGGTAAGAATGGTCTATTCCATTCTCCTGGATTTCCAGAAACCGCCGCTCGATCTTCCGCCTGTGCAGCCGCGACCCGTGGTCGCTCGCCAACTCGGCCAGCGATCTCTTCGGCGACCCTCTACATTGCTCGATACAATGTAAAGTCGCCAGAATGAGCTGCAAGGCCCCCAAGTCCCCCCAGTTAGCGTTGCCAAACCTGTTCCATACCTGCTCGACCGAAGAGACCGCTACGTCTGCATGCTGCTCGAGCCAGTCCGTCGCAACCTCATAAGTTAATCCTGCCTTGGTATCCAGCTTCGAGATATCCCCACGTAGTCTCATCACCCCACCGCACTTGGAATCCACGAACAAGACGTAGGCCGTGTCCGTGTGCTTTCTCACCGACGGCTTCTTCTCGGAGTAGAGCCTCGACATGAGCATATGAATCCCATGGAAGAGCGAGCGACCAACGATGGAGCTCACGGCAAACCCAGCGTCTCCTCCAATCTCTGGCTGGACCTCCACGAATTCCACTATGTGCTCCCACACTGTGTTCATCCCCCTGCCACTTTTCCCAACCAGAGCCACACCGTCCAAGTAGCTCCTCTTCCCCCGAGGCCCTGTGACGAAGAATGGCATCCGGTCCTCCGAGCTCCACAGCGTCTCCCATAGCGTCTGAGCTATGGTGTGGAGGAAATCCTCCACCGCGAGGTTTATCTCCGCGGCGATGTTCCCCGAGAGGCCATGCTGCCAGTACGGCATTCGTAGGAGCTGCTGGAAGATCACTCCTTCCAGCGCATAGTCCAGCTGCTTGAGCTCGTCAAGCTGGAAAGGCTCTTTGAACTGATCTTCCGGATTCCCGAGCTTACCTAACAGCCATTCTTGCGCGTGGGAGGTGAACTCGTCGCAATCCACGAAGCGTTTAGCAAAATCTTTGAGCCCAGAGTACTTCACTGTGGAGGCCACGCAATCGCTTAGAGAAAAAAATCGAAGAAATCGAAGAGCTTCTAGCGCTCACTCACCCGAGGACGCGATTTTTCCGTAACTCCCCTCGCTGTGGCCAGACGATGGAGCATTGATTCTCGCCCTCCGCGCTGCACAGACAAAGCACAGCCATGAATATTTCGGGAAATCCCAGCGCACAGAGAGATAATCTACCAGATTTCATCGTGCTGCTCCGATCGTCCAGAGCATTTCCTGCCCCCCTCTAGCAAAACACTCCCTTGCGAGCCGCCTAGATCACCACGCGCGCAGCGCACAGCTCGATAATCGCCCCTGGAGCCTCTCCCGAGAGGCCAGACCTATTCCTGCTTCCCCGAGAGAGCGCGCGAGAGAGATTTCGATGCTCCTACGCGCTGCTCGACTGAAATTTCCCATCGCGAGCAAAACCCTAGCGCCTTTGGCCGTGCCCCGCCCGCCAGCGCCATAGCCGCTCCTCCGAATCGCGCGAACGCATAAAACTAATGCAAATAAGGCAATGACGGGCCAGGGTTTCTTCACCGCACGAGAATGAAGTGTACGGCAGGAATAAGTCAATCGCGCGCCAGTGGCCCAAACTGTACAGCACTCCCTCGGTATTTATGAGCTCTCTAACAGAGGAATCTGGGAAGCAATAAACGAAGCCTCTAAAATCACCAAGAACCTTTAAATCCCCACACTGGCCGTTTAATTCCCAGGTGGGATTTCTTTGCGTCCTCGCTAAGCAAGAACACGCGCATCAATCCATCCAATCCAACTCCAATCGTTCTTGTCACGCGAAGGAGCGATTTTCTTTGGCTTGCTCGCTCTGTAGCACACAATCACACATTAACCGAGAGAGAGAAAAAAAAAAAAGTTCTTGGATCTTACGTGCATGTTGGTTGCTCGAATGATGGGGAATAATCTTTCCTGCGTCTCGATCATCGTCTCGATCCCTGCTGGTTTTGAGGGTTTTAAAATGTGTTTGGAGGAAGGCCCCGCGATTTTATTTCTTCCAAGGCAGCGGCACTGTTTGTGTGGAGCTAGCTTCCAATTCAATACGCCCCACAGAGAGGACAAGGTGTACAGCCGTGCGAAGAAATTTCGTTTTGTACCTTCAAAAGCGAGAGACCACTGGAATTAAGTACCTTTTCTTCTTCCCGAAACAAAATACCTGAGCGAGACGACGATCTCACCTCAGCTTTAAAGTCGTCATTACGGAGTTGGATCCACGCACAAGGCGGATGATGCAAACGCAGTGCTTTCTTCTGTAAGCAGGGAATACATGTTTAGAGCAATCGACAAAGCCACATAAATCAAAGACCGACCTGTGGCCTTCTTCTTTCGTCTGGACGTGTGAATGCTGATTGAGAGCTCTGGAAAAAGACCCCAAAGGTAAGTCAGATAGACACAAGCAGTCACAGGCAGGCCAACAACACCACCCAAGCAGTCCGTCGACTCAACCATTTAAGAAAAAAAGCCAACAAAAAGACCGGAAATGAGTCGCTGTCCTTCCTGGGCCTGCCTAATGAATATCACGCTCACGATCCACATCATGCCACGCTGGTGGAGGTTTTACTTCCACATAAAATGCAAAAGAGGGAGAGAAATCACTCACATAGGATGCGTGCCACCTTTTCTTTTTACTTTTCTTTTTCTTTGTTTCTCGTTCCAGCGCCCACCCTTTCGTACTGTTAAGTTCTCGAGTCCCGAGTTGAAAAACCTTTTGTCAGCTCCATCGGAGGCTGAGAAATCCAAGTCAGATAATTCAATAACAAAGAAAAGCGCATGCACCTGCATCAGCAGCCTTCGTCCAGGCTACTCATTCCTCCATCGAGCCGAGAAAGGGTCCGAAGTCACTTCTTCTAGGCAGATATAAGAGTTTTCTAACCGGAACAGCGTGGGCCACTTGTGGAAGCCTTGCCAGCACCTACAAGAGGAATGTCAAGCTTTCAACAACATAGACAATCATAGAAAAGTAAAGAAAGGTACCATTTCATATTCAGGAGCACTGGTTTTTCTTCTGTAGCATGCACTAGAAGACACGAAACCAAGTTGACCAATGTAGCACACCATGTTCATGAGTAGGCAGTACCAAGAATTTGGAAGTAGAGCGAGTATGACGTTAGTCATACCAAGCCTCAAAGCTTTTTTATTTGCGCGGGATATACCTGGAGCCAAGCCGATGGAAATATATGTAGTCCTACTCATCTAACCTGTTCTAAAGAGGGGGAGCGTTTGGCCTCCAGTTGGCGCCGGCGTATACAGCTTTGGGACCCAGTTCTTCCTCAATCCGCATAAGCTGAAAAGGAAGAGAAAAATCAATACAGCTTGAAGCTTTTCTAAGAGATATATCTCTACCTGGTTATACTTCGCGAGACGCTCGCTTCTGCAAGGAGCTCCCGTTTTGATTTGTCCAGTACTCAAGCCAACCGCTAAATCCGCAATGAAAGAGTCTTCAGTCTCGCCACTTCTGTGAGAAGCCATCACTCCCCATGAGGCTGCCTTTGCCATGTTCACGGCCTGAATCGACTCCGTGACTGTTCCGATTTGGTTCACCTACACGATACACAAGAGATCAGATTTGGTCCTCGGCTGCGCTTAAAGAAAGAAGAGAACACGTACTTTAAGAAGTAGTGCATTGCACGTTTTGTCCTCGATCGCTTTGGCAACACGCTTGGGATTCGTCACGAGCAGATCGTCACCAACAACCTGGTCCACGGCACGTAAAATTTCGTATCTCTAGTGGTGAAATTTTACCTGGCAGATATTCAGGCCCGTTAGTGTCTTTGTGTTCTCCCAGTCATCTTGATCAAAAGGATCCTCAATCGAGATCACAGGGTACTCTGCAGAAACAAAAGAACAGAATTGTAATACTGGGGAAAACATGAATAACAAACCTGTACAGAACTCTTTGTACATGTCAATCATTTGAGCTCCAGTTCTTTTCTCCGCTCCAGAATTGTTAGGTGTCTTGAAATCGAGATCGTACTGATGATCGGCTGGTCATCATGGAAGAGAAGATTAGCTTGATTAAAACTTTGTCAAACCCCTTACAAGTATGAAACTCGCTAGCAGCTACGTCCATTCCAATCTTTATCTTTCCCGTGAATCCAGCCTTTTCAATGGCCTCTTTAATCAAATCCAGTCCTTCCTTGGAACTGTCAAAGAAAAGGGAAAAAAGAAAAAAGTTCAGCTGAAAACAAGAGCACAAAATCTTGCCTGGTGATATTTGGAGCAAACCCTCCTTCGTCACCAACATTGCACGCATCTATCCCATATTTGGCTTTGATAACGTTCTGTAGAAGACAGTTGTGAGCACGAGACAAACTACACCACGAAAAATCGCACCTTCAAATGATGGTAAACTTCAGATCCCATACGCATGGCTTCCGCAAACGTCTCGGCTCCAACAGGCAAAATCATAAATTCCTGCCATCAAGCGTAAGAAACCAAAACCCCCTGGGAAAAAACATATATTTACCTGCATTGCAAGCTTGTTTCCGGCATGACTTCCACCGTTAATAATGTTAAATGCTGGAACAGGCAGCACCAGCTTTTGATTGCCTCCCAGATCGGCGATGTGTTGATACAATGGAATCTAGAGAATCCAAAGTGTTACGGAAACGAGCCTTTATTCCGGTATAACGCACCTCCTTTTCGGCCGCACCAGCTTTGCAGGCCGCCAACGAAACAGCTAAGATTGCATTGGCACCAAGCTCCCCCTTTGCACAAAAGATTCAGCATGAGAAAAACGATGCAAAGGAAAAGAGAAAAAGAGAAACCTTGTTATCTGTGCCGTCTAGTTTCATCATAGCTGCATCGAGCTCTTCCTGCTTCGTTGGATCCATTCCAACCAACACAGCCGATATCCTTTCGTTAACGTTTTGGACTGCTTTGAGCACACCCTTTCCCATGTACTTCTCCTTGTCACCATCGCGGAGCTCCACTGCCTCATAGCTGAGACAAATTCTCCACTGTCACGAACACTAAAGGAACTGAATTTGATGGACTTACATTCCAGTCGAAGCTCCACTAGGAACAGCAGCACGAAACATGCCCTTGTTGGTGTAAAGATCCACCTCCACCGTAGGATTGCCTCTGCTGTCATAGATTTGCCTGGCTCTGACCTTGGTGATCGCGGCAGCAGTAGCTTTCAGCAGATGACGCGACTGCGCGAAAAAGAGAGGGGGTTTCAAAATCTTGAGCGATCGCGAGAAAAACGTACAATGTGGAGCACTGGATCTGGCGACTTGGCACGCACGGCGGCATTCACAGCATCCTCGATCCTCTGTGAGAGCTTGTGCTTCTCCAGGTACTCCTGAACCGACATCTCGCCCAGCCAAAAACCCTCGCGCGATGCAAACCCTAAAAATGGCCGCGGGGAGTGGAAAATAAACAGCAATAAGATCCAACGGCGGGGGTTACGGGCTCCACTTTTGAATCAAAAGGCGCAACGAGATGAAAGGTCGCGATTGTTTTCCATCGTAACCGTGGGTATAGGCCATCCTGGCCGTTGAAAGCTTTCAACAATGGCGGCAATTGGCGCGGCGCTGCCAAACGCGAGAGAGGAAGAAGATTCTCTCGCGGGGAGAATACGATCTTGTGGAAACTCCAGAGATTTGTGCGCAGGGAAGAGAATCCATAGCCTAGTTCTCAGTAGCTCTTACTCTCAGAGCCGGTATCTAGCGAATCTTTTGGTGGAGATGTACGGTAAGTGCCGGAGTCTCGAGGATGCCCAAGAAACCTTTCGAAAGATCTCTGATCGAAACGTTTTTTCTTGGAATCTTATGATCAGAGTGTTCGTTGAGAATGGGAATCTTACAGAAGCACAGAATCTCTTCGAGAAGATGCCGGAGAGAGATGCTGTGTCGTGGACAACTTTGATAACCGCATATGCCCAAAGTGGTGATGTTGTAGCTGCGCGAGTGTTGTTTGATCAGAGCCCTTGTTCTAATGTGGTGATGTGGACGGCGATGATCGCGGCTTATTCTCAGTCTGGGAAGCTTAGCGAGTGCCAGGATTTGTTTAAGGAAATGGCACAGCGAGACACTATTTCATGGAACTCTATGATCCAAGCATATGCCCAAAAAGGTCTTGTCAAGGAGGGTTTAGAGTTATATGATGCGATGCCAGAACACTCCGTTGTATCATCCAACACTTTAATCGCGGCACTTGGAAAATCGCACCAAGTTGACAAAGCAAGAGAAATATTTGATCGGATGCACAGGAGAGACCTATCCACCTGGGTGGCGATTATTCAAGCATATGCCCCGGTTGATCTGGATGAATGTGAAACTCTTTTTAACAAAATGCCGGAACATAGCCAGGAGATATGTGATTTTCTTGTTTCTGCTTACGCCTCGAAGAAATATAATAGAAAAGCCATAAACTTTTTGAATAATTTGGATCAAAGCTCTTGTAGAGAACATTCACCATGGTACATTTTAATACGTGAAGTTTCAAACGCTGGAAAACTGCATGACGCTAGGCTCATTTTTAACAACATTATCAATCCCAGTTTGCGAACATGGACTTGTATGATCACCGCATATGCTCAACACGGGTATTTGGAGGAATGTTGGAATTTGTTCTTTAACAGGTTGCCTGAATGGGATTCTTTAGTGTGCACAATTGTCTTGCAAACCTTCTCTAACGTTCAAGTTGAAAAGGCCAAGGCATTGTTTGACATGATACCTGAGCCGGATCTCATAGCATACACTTCAATGTTAACTTCATATGCTCAAAGCAATCAACTTGACAAAGCAAAAGCATTGTTTGACAAGATGCCCGAATACAACGCCGTGTCTTGGAATATCCTATTGAGGGCATATGCTCAAAATGGAAACCTCCATGAAGCAAAGGAGATGTTTGAAGAAATGCCTCACTGGACAATAGTTTCATGGAACACCATGCTTGCAGCATATGCCCAAAGTGGCAAACTTGTAGATGCCGAAATGATGTTTGACAGAATTCCAGATCCTGATCTAGTGTCTTTCACAACGATGATTGAAGCTTATGCTAGCAACAACGAGCTTGAGCGAGCGTGTTTCTTGTTTGGTAGATTAGTGGACCATGATTTAGTGTGTTCTACTGCAATGATTCGAGCATTTTCTTTGCATGGTCACATTGACCATGCTGCAGGGATTTACAATGACATTCCTAGCCACCATGATGTAGTATCAAACACTACCATGCTCTTGGCATATGCTGAAAATGGGCATATTCACGAGGCAAGAAGAATCTTCGACTCCATGCCAGAAAAGAATCTAGTAGTGTGGAACACAATGCTTGCGGCATATTCCCATCTTGGGAATCTTCACGATGTCACAATTCTCTTTAAAGCCATGCCCAGCCATGACACAATTTCTTGGAACACTATAATCAATACAAATGCCCAGATGGGAAACTTGATCCTGGCCCTTGATCTAGTGGCCCTCTTGGCACTCAACGGCCTCTATT